CGGCGTCAGTGTCCAACTCGAACGATTCAGAGCGCTTTTTCCCGTATGAATGGGTTGACGATCACATTCTGGTGGAACCGGATGTGGGTGACAGGCTACAAGTGGCAGAAGCCACGCTACGGCACGCTATGTTGGCTGTCCTGGGTCCACGATCGATCAACGAGGCAAAATTCTCCAGCTGGAGCTCTGACCTTACTGCTCTGGGGTTGCGATGGAATACCGTGGACCGGTCAGTTTCGATTCCAGCCGACAAAATCGAGAAAGCCCACAGTCGAGTTCGTGCAATGCTCGAAAAGGGTGCAGCGTCGAAATCGGAGTTCTATAAACTCCTCGGGTCACTTCGCCATGTTGCTACTTGTTTACGAACAGCGAAGCCGTTTTATCAGCGACTTCAATGCCAATGTACTTCGGCCCCTCGGTTCGGCAAAGTAAAACTTTCAGAAGGATCTGTGGCGGACTTACTATGGTTTGAACAAATTCTCAACCACGGATGTCTTGCCGAATTACCTTTGGATATGTTTGGGGACACATTTTCCCCTCACGTCGAGTTGTATATGAACGCATCAAATATCGGTGCCGCTGTGCTAGACCCTGCTTCCGATGAATTTATTCAAGTTAAATTTGATAACGACGAACTACGAATGATCAACATACCACAAGCGACGGGACCAGAATTTTCAATCAATGTCCGTGAGCACCTGTGCATCGCGCTAGCCGTTTGGACGTGGGGGCCAAAGTGGAGTCGCCAGTCAAAAGGTCGGATGCTCTACATTAAGTGCTGGAGCGACAACACCTCCGCTGTGGTATGGTGCAATAAACTCCGCTCTGGTAATGTCTTCAGCCAAGAATTAAATAGGTGCATCGGCCTTGCGGAAGCCTATTTCAATCTCCGTGTGTCCGCTGCTCACATTCCCGGTTCAATCAACTCGATGGCTGACGCTGCGTCGCGTGCTTGGACGGAACCGTATCACTCCCGGTGGACTAACTTCTCGTCGTGTTGGAAACAGGCTCAAGTGCCGGTAACATGCAGAAAACTCTACACGGGCTTCTCGAGCAACTTCAGTCCCGCTCGTTGGCCTCGGCATCAGCATCAAAATACAGCGGAACATGGTCGCAGTGGTGCACATGGTGTGAGTGGCTTAATCTCCCACGATGGTTGCCCGAGAGCCCTCGACAACACTCATACCAACTCGCCCTATTTGCCGTGTACTGCTGGCAATTTGGCTGGAACAACTCACGAAGTGGAAATACTGCCGGTACCGTGCTCTCAAAAATCAGTCATATCACGTGGCATCATCGCAAGATGCTTGGATACAGCGTCCAACTTCTCCCAGGCCATCAACTTTCAATTACAGGAATGCGCAGATCAGATCCATCCAGTACCCCAAAATCCCCGGTCACAACAACCATCCTCAAGCGACTTCATGAGTATCTCAACTTCTCATCAGTCCAACACCGAGTCATATGGGGAGCTTCGGTGCTGGGCTTCTTCTTTCTTTTAAGAAGATCTGAATATTTAGCTCAAGGTTCGGACGTGAAGCCGTACGCCATTCAGCGAACCGATGTCAAATTTGTGAACAATGAGGAAAAAGAGGTAGAAAATCTACGACAAGTGACCGCAGTTGTGATATATTTTCGTGGGAGTAAGGCCGATCAGTTTGGAGAAGGTGCTACACGCAGACTGGAACGTTCTGGTACTCAATGGTGCTGTCCTGTCCTGGCCCCGCGGTATCTAGTGGAACATCACAAGTCTTTTGGAGCAAAGGAAGATTCGCTGTTGTGCAAGGTTGATGTCAACACAAACTTGCAAGTTGGAGAAGTGGTAAGGGCACTCAAAAGTGCAGCGGAGTGCGCAGGACAAAATCCAGATTCGTACGGCTCACATTCTTTACGCAGCGGTGGTGCTACCGCATTATTCAACGCTGGGTATGATAGTCTCGCAGTCAAACGTTTTGGTCGCTGGAGATCAGATGCTGTTGAGCGATACACTCGGATAGGTGGCCGCCTTACTGCCAGGATGGCAGCTGAAATGGTGGCAAAGTGTGCTTCGAAGCGAACTGAAGGGGTATCCTCCACGCCACTTCCTGGCAATGGAGGCACTTCAATGCAAACTTTATAATTTGGTGTCGTTTACACTATACGCCCCTGAGTCATGCAGCAACGATAGCGGAAAATCTCTTGCACAAACAAATCATATATAATACTCACGGGGTTGTTCCAAATAGGAACGTTTCCAACTGTGATCTGCAGATTTTTCAATGCGGCAAATGGACTCGTTGTAGCTGGAACAGTCGAGAATGGGCTACGGAACGGATTAATTGTATCCGATACAGTCGCTCCTGCCGTTGGATTGGTAATAACTGGTTGCATGATCAATCGCTTTGGATTAGCAACTCCATTACTGACCGTCCAAGTAAAGAAAGCACCTGGAGCAACTGTGAATTTATTCGTGATCCGCTCGAAGTACTGGAATATTTTCTTCTGAGCTAGTGCATGGTCGGCGCTTGAGTTAGGTGAATACGTTGGAAACAGAAGACGCGAGAACGATTGCGATGGAGTGATACTAGTTCCACCAGTGGGAGTACCATAAACGTCGGCTGTAATCGTTAGAGTTACAGCAGATGCAGGGAGCGCAAGACCACCGGCCAAAGCCGTTGCCGTTACACCACTGCTTAAATTACAAAGCACGGGGCAGGTGTTGCCGAAATTCATATTGTTGCTCAAACTAGCAATAGTTGCGACGACACCGGCAGTACCAGTCGTAACTAGAGTAGTGGATGAACTGTTATAGTTGAGGTAAATGAAGTCGCGCGTGTTTTTCTGCATTGGGCATTTCTTGAAGTAGTCAGAGATATCCCGCACTTTAATGCAAGCCAGATAATGTGCAACGTAAAATGGCGAAGCAGCAGCAACGGCGCCAGCAGGAGCCACATAGACTTGGGGTTTCGATACGGCTTGAAGATTTGCACTACCTCCCATAACATCGAATGCAAGTTTCGAGCTTTGTTGATCAAGAGCAGTAAAGAGCGAACGTTCGGCGGCTCCTCGGTTCGAGTAGGTGTTAGCCAATCCAAACTCACCGACATTATTAGTAGCTGTCATAAACGACGAAGTAGCCAAGTTATCGAGCGATTGTGCCGCTCCGCTAGACCCTTGGATCGTTGGCGTGGCATATTCATCCAACGTAAAATTGCTGGTTGAGCCTTGTTTGACATATAAATTATAATCGGTTTCAGTTAGAGCCTTGAAAGTTGTATTCACATTCTCATGAACTTGAGTCGTTTGGACAGTGGTTCCGTCAATAACAACCTGAACACTTTCAATGAACTGCCATGGTCCGGCCTTAGGTACCAATTGATCAATAGTACAGGCAGCAGTCGAAGTGACCGAACCGGCACCACCATTAAGAATTTGAAGCTTTACTGGAAGCTCAATGATGGCTTCTTCCCAATTGACAAATGCGGCATGCGAAGAGATCGTCGAGAGATTGAATTGGATTTGTCCGGCATATTGGCCTGTGTTACTTGTTGAGTCCTGAATATAGGTTAATTTCTTGTCCTTAAAGAGTGTTTCAGCTGGAGCTGGTTCGACGGAGTGTTCGAAAGCGGAAATATCAGAAGCGGAAGATATAGTTTATGCGATTATATTGATGGTGATTATATTATACTCGCCGAAAAAATAAAGCACGATGAGTGAAAAAAAATAATTATTAAATTGTCTAGAACGAAACCATTGCTTTATCTTATGCTGAACTCGAATGAACTCGAACGTAAAATTTAGAAACTAGAGACTTCAAATGGGTAGCCCGCTGCGGAAGCGTTTAGCGAGCCACCCCACACGTGCAACGACTGAAACACCACTTTACCGCGACAACTACGGGTGCAGTAGTTGTCTTCAAATTATATCAAAGGGCTTACTTTTATATTTTTCGTTAGTTTTCTTGGACTGGAAATGGATCGGTTCAATAATACTTCGATGTAATAAATATTTTTACTGTAAA